AACTGATTAACACCAAAATTGACTAACAAGCACTTTGTCACGGTGCGTCAAAATAATAATCGATACTAACACTTATATTTAGTATGGTGAAGTAGATTTCGTATCCACAGGGAAAGGAATAGAAACTAGTAAATAAAAGGGGGATTTTGGGATTGTTGGAATTTAATTTAATTAAATACTAAGATGAATGACTTAAATGTGATTTAATTCAAAGATAAAAAGAATTTGGTCTTGCTACTTTTCACTTGTTGATATATTTAGTCGATCATTGTTATATCTACAACTTATCCCCTCTCGAATATTCAATCGAGGAGTATATCCAATTTATCGAGAGTAGTTATTAACAACGACCGTTCATTAATAATCCTTACTATTAATCAAGTATAGAACACCGTCATATACCGACTTGATGGTAGCATTTAATCTCTTAACTTCTTGATGAAATCAATTGAGATTGATAACCTCAACACAACAGTTTTGGTTTAACAAACAAAATCAATCACTCTTAAGTTTATTAACCACGACCGTGCATTAATAAACCGAAGTTACTTATTTGTGAAACCATCAACGATTACCCATCGGTTCGTTGATCGTTTCTAGTAGTAATTAATGTCGAGATGATAACTAATTGTCATCTTAGTAACACTCCCCAACATTAATATAGAGATAGATTAAGGGAAGAATTAATATTCAAGGAAAGAAGTTAAGAAAATAACTCACAACTTTAATAATCAACAAGCTTCAAGAGCAACACCAATAAATGGAAGTTTAGCTCCTCATTTGGAGACTAAACATGCTAGAAAAATATAAAGAAATGATATTCTAAACTGAGCTTAAGAGAGTATGTCAATTCATGCCAAATGGGAAGGAGTAGGGGTGTATTTATAGGTGTTTGGAGTTGCCAGGGCCATTTACCGTACCGGGTTTTGAGGAACCCGATCGGGTTTCTTGAGTAAGTGCTAGGAACCTTCATCTGTCACATTATACCCGACCGGGTAAATGATTTACCCAATCGGGTAAAAGACAAATCTTTAACAAATCTTTGCCTGCACGTTAAATTGCCTCCAAATCAGATTTGATTTTCGGATCAAGTCAATACTGTACCCGACCGGATAAATGCTTTACCCGACCGGGTAAATGACTATTTTTCCAATTTTCACTTTATCTTGTTCCCTTACACTTTCCTTGACCTTTCTAAGGATCCTCTTGATGATTTTCACCTAGTTAAAGCTCAGAATAAACCTAATCTAAACTAATTACAAACAAAATAGGAAAAATAAAGTATTACATCAAAAGTGTGTAATTTTTCAAACAACAACAAATAAAACTAGTTAAAATTAGAAACATAAATAATAACAATTCTATACCATCACCGACCCATTAAAATCGAAAAATGACAAAAACAAGCAAAAATTGACCAAAACTAAAAGTAGTTGATCGGAACACCCCAAGTTTTTTAGTCCGATTTTTTTATTTCACCTGTTTTTAAGAGTTGCTAAACTGAAACACACCCAAAAGCGAAGTACTAAAAAAAAAGAAAGGATCAGAATCAAACTCATAAAACCGAAACATATGAACACCCATGCCAAGCATAGTGTTGAGTCTTGACAACACGTTTTTTTGTACACTTTCTCGTATTTTGTACTCCGGACTGGGGGTGGGTAAACGGGTACCGGAACGGCAGGGCGCAGGTCGGACCGGGTAATACAGGTTCGAGCGAGTTATGGTCGGGTCCTAATTTTTGAAATCCCAAACAGTCCGGGGCAGGGCGGGTCCTTAAATAATTAGGAATCGAACGGGTCTTAAAATTTGAAAAAAAGGGTTCCCAGACCGAACCGTTTTAAAATATTATTTTAATAAATCCTATTACACTTGGTATTTAATATAATATACCAACAACACACAGAAGTTATTCATGTTCTTGTGTCTAGCTAGCTAAGGATGACAACGGGGCGGTTCGGGAACGGTTTTACATACTACGTATAACCGTGCCCGTCCTGTTGGATAATTTTTCCGCCCCATTACCCAACGGGTAATATTTACTCAAACCATAACCGCCCCAACGGGTAACGGGTAAAATTTCAAGTAACCGTGTGTAACCGTTTTATTAAATGAGTCATTAAATTTTTTATATAAAAATAATATTTTAAAAGGTGAAAAATGACATTGCCTAGACGATTCTAGATTTCAGACGTCACTTTAAAGATTTATATATCTACAAGACGAGAAATGAAGCAACTTAAATTAATTTGAACCTATAACTACTTAGGGAAATTTCCCGGGATACGACTAAAACTCATTGAGTTTATCAATCTATGACTAACTTAGTTTTGTTACATTTGTATGACCGAAAATCCAAACAAAAAGTAATATTTCGTTTATATTTAATTGTTGAATGACGAAAATACCCTTATTTAAAATACGTGCATTTTACACTAATTTCGTTCATTAAAATTACTGCACTTTATATTGTCCTTAATGCACGTCCTCAATGCACGACATTACTGCAGGTTCGGTAATAATCACTGCACTTCCGCCAAAATTAATTCTCTTCTCAATCACTTTACGGAATTATTTATAGTTTTTATTTTTTATTTCTGTAGATTTAAATATTTTATTATTTTACATGTAATTTTACTGCACTACCGATCATAATCATTACACAAAAACTTTTTTAATGCATTCATTCACTGCCATGTAAAACATTTTATTGTCATATTCAGTGCCAAACTCAACAATACATATGATGATATTCACTGTCCATATTCAATGCAAATATTTAATGTCCACAAACCCAAATTTAAAAAACTCCAAATTTCAAAATTAGAAAAGTGAATGGATAGATCCAAAGCACACCCATCTTCACGTAACACCAACGCCCCCCACTCATTCCGAAGCATGTTCTCATGAAGCAGCAGCCCACCAAGCTGTACAGAGGGATACAGAGTCGCACAAAGCATGAGTCCCCATTCTGTGTCTCTATAGAGGAGCGTTTCTCGAGATTGAGCGCCCCGTTACGTTGGGTTTTTTGGTGATGTCAAAGCAACGACCCTCGTGGCTGATTTCTAGATCAGATTGGAGATTATATTGGCAGATTGGCATCGCAGGTCTACATGTGTGCGACGTTATTCACAATAGATCAGAAGTCAGACGGGAATCATACGGATTGGACTATTTACCTTCACATTGTTGGTCGGACGCACAGGACGGGCAATTGTGCACCCAGGCGATCGATCGATCTTCGGAAGGCGGAAACTGTGCTCCCAGGCCAGAGATATGTGGTGGCGGCTGCGCTGGACGGTGGCCGGCTGCCAGGCGGTGGGCGGAGAATCGACTGTTGCGGCTGCTTGGGTGGGCTGCGGAGGTTATGCACGACCGGAGGGTTGGAGAATATGGGTAGAAGATTAGGGCTTTATAGGTATAATCTAGAGGGTATATTTGTCCACAAAAAAATATTTATTATTTAATTATTTCGAATTTAATTACATATTTCGTTTTTTAATATTATTTTAAGAAAAAAACTGTTTAGGTCATAGATTGGGAAACTCATGGAGTTTTAGTTATACCTAGGGTAATTATCTAAAAAATAATTAATCACGAAAAAATATAACAATCAAACAAGACTATTAAAATCTATTATGAACTTTCATTCATACATTATAGTTAGTACATCTATAATCTATATGACCAGGGCGGTTCGGAGCCGGTATCCATCGGCTCGGTCACAATTGTCATCCCTACTTGTGACTAGACAAAGGCTTTCAACTAAGGAAATTGGTCAGTCTTAAAAACAATTTTTAAGTCCATCTAAACTCTTAAAATGTTTTCCTCAATTCTCTATTTCAAATGCATCAAACTTTTACTTATATTTTCATATTTAATAAGCTTTAAATTATTTTCATAGACAAACATGAATAGTACATGGTTTAATTTTATGTGACATTATGTGTTGTCTCTATAGTTTATGGATATTGATTAAAATTTTAATTTAGGTGGTTGACTGGTTGTGTGATGTTCAATTTATAGATTTGTTGTAAGATATTTTGTTGACTAATTTAAAATGTTATTTTATATTTTTATTTGAAATTTTTACTATATTATATTATGATGGTGAGATTAATTAGTACATAATTCATTTGAGAATTTTATAAATTAGTAGAAACTTTTCTAGCATAACCGATTTTTTTAAAGAACCGAGAACTCGAATCGAACCGACCCGTTTCAAATGGGGCATGTAACGTCTGGTTCCTATTTCAAGATTTGGTATATTCGGACCGAACCTATTCGTTTCATGGAATCGGCGGTTCTTAAAAAATATGCAATTACCCGAACTCACTCGAACCGTGCTCACCCCTACTTTGGACTAGGTATACAGCAATTTGTCTAAAGCAAAAAAAAAATTGCAAGGGTCAAATTACCAAATCGATAAAAAAAACAGGGTCATTGGACATATTGGTAAAAGAATCACTTGAGACAAATTGGTATAAAAAAACTAGTGACAAATTGGTCAATGTTTTGCGAGTAATTCATGTACATATCTTAAAAATGATTCTGTTGGTAATTATTTAAAATAAACGTAAACATAACTTTTAAAATTTTTCCAAAACTTACTAAAAATTAAAAGAAATAAAAATAATTTTATGTTACTAACATTTTATTTCAACCGCTAATGAAAGCGGTTAGTTAAAAAAGTTTACGAATTCGCTAATATCAATTTGTTGATTCAACCAATTATGAGCTAGCAGACAACTGATAATATGAAACACGGTCATTGACATTTTAGACCTCCACTTTTGATGACAAATTCAAAGTAAAATGACTGCAAATGTCAAATTCATAATACTTAGAATATGAAATATCGGGAATTCTGAAATGGAAGATAAAAAATTTATCACTAAGAGAGAATTGACCAATGTGTCATTAGGTCTTTTTTTACCAATTTTTACCAAGTGGTTTTCTTTTTACCAATGACCTCTTTTTTTCTACCAATTTGTACCCAATCTCCACGCGCTCGACGCTCCACATGCCTTCTCATTCCTCCTCCAAATTCCCTGCATCCAATCTCGATCCGCTCCGGCCACCGGCTTCGCGAGTTCCAGACTTCCGGTTATTCCACTTGGCACCAGTGCACCAGCGGTCCAGCCTTCAGCATTCAGTCAATCCACAAGCTACAACTCCATCGCGGTTCTGCTTCAATATGGCCACGCCTGACGCCTCCACTCATGGTTATTGGTTAGTCTCCGCTTTCACAATTTACAACGTACTTTTTGCAAGCCTAATCTGAAATTTGGAGAGACGTTTGCCAGTTCCCAGTAATTTCATTGCGATTAGACCTGAAATTTGCTCGAGTATCTCAACTGCGAATGTGGAGAGCATAATTTCGCACAATGGTTGGTTCAATTTATTGGCGAATGTGTGTATGTGGCAGTCTATAAGAATAAGATGTATGTAGTTTAGGAGTAATTTATTTCATAGTGACACCTTAACTTGTAAATCTGCTGCACTTTTAGCTAACTATGCTTGAGAATTAGGTTTTTTAAGGTATCTCGAAGGCCTAAGCTCATATGCTCCATGACAAATGTACATTAGAATAATCGGAGTAGTTAATACATATTTGTCCAGAAAATAGTGATCTCACTTTCCTTCTATGTCTAAAAAAGTTCTCATTTCCATAAACGAGTAATATACAAATATGACTATTAATTTTACATTTTGAGTACTTTTCATCAACTTGATATTAGGACATTAAGAAAGAGCATTCTCAAAAAAGTAAAATAAAAACCAATTTTGCATTATAGATCAAATGGGGTTCTTGTTTTTGCATGAAAGTGGGATATTTTTATTAATAAAAACATGTTTTCGACTAGAAACTAACTAGATAGAAAAAAATCAAGTACCTTATATGTCCATTGTAAACGTACTCCTAACTTGTAAAATATTCGCTCAAGACCATCATTGAGTTTTTGAACTCTTTTTCAATGTGTCCATATGAATCAATAAAATCTCCATCTATACTTTCGAGTCGTATTTGTCACATTTTCCATTTTCGCCCAGAAATCTTCGTTGGTCTCAAGATCACATTCAAACTCAAGTCATCTGAATTCCTTTGATTCAAAGGTCAGTTCTTGCAGTTTTCTTGATTGTATGATTGTATCGACATGATAGGTGTGAAGTGTACGTATCCTGATTCATCTGTGCTATGCAAAGAAGAAAATTTTGGAGTTTGTCTAAAATTTGGACATTCGAAGAAGCAGATAAGTTACTAATTTAGTTGGATATTCTGGTGGAGGGGGGGGTTTGGGTGGAGCTGATGATGGCACAGCCAAGAAGAAAGAAGTGGAGTGAGGCGGAGGAAAGAACCCTGATCGAAAAGTATGATCAGATGGTATGCGATGGAACTTTGGCTAAAATGAGAACCAGAGAGAAAAAATATATACCCATTGCCCTACATGTGAATTCTGTACACCACATGCTTGATCCAATTTCATATCCATGGCAGTGGACCTGGAAGGACGTATCAACAAAAGTTCAGAACATGAGACACCAGTATGGCCTTGTAAAGCAGAAAATCAAGAAAGACGGGGTGGAGGAGTTTGATTGGGAGGAGGGTATCACACATTGGTCAAATTTCCTTAGGTACAAGGAGGTGTTTGGGGATGTGATGCTTGTATTTAACAGTGCAGAACCACTGGCAGTTGTGGGAGATGGGAATGAAAGTAATAGTGGGGCATTCGATGGGCTTGTTCAATTCGGGCATTTGACTCATTCTGGGGATTTCGGAGGTGGAATGGTCATGGATGGAGATTTAGGGATGAGCCTTGATTATGTCGGGGAAGAAGAACAAGGAGAGGAGAACTATGATAATGGCAGTAATAATAAAACGAATAATCCTATGAAGGAGGATGATGGGGAATTTGTTTATGAAGAAGAAGAAGATATTGAGCCGACTGGGTCTGACACCCGGAAGAAACGAAAGGCAATGAAGGGGGCAGTTGAGAAGAAGGCTTGGGCGTTTCTCGCCTGCCAGTTGTCTCAGTTAAGGGAAATGGAGACCCGATTTGAGCAGCGTGAGGTGGAGAGAGAACAGGAGAGGATGAGGAGAGATCACATCCGTATAGAAATGGAAAAAGAACGTGAGAGGAAAAGGGACGAAAAGGACCGCGAGAGGGAGAGACGAATCGAGGATTTGCGCCGACGGAAGGTTCTAGAGTGGGAAGCAATGGAGAAAGAGAGTGAAGAACGAGAGAGACGGAGACGGGAGGAAGGACTAGTTTTGGAAAGAGAACGCGAGGAGAGGATGGATAGGAGGAAATGTGAGTCTAAGAAGCGGATAGAAGACATGATAAATCAACATCGGGCAGAAATGGGTCAGATTCAGAGTCGGATACTTCATGAGCAACAAAATCTTACTGCTCAGCTACTCGGGATTCTTTCCCAGTGGACAGGTCATCCAACTACGCTCGCGGATCATACGGGAGCTACCAATCATTACCTTTCACAGATGATGCAGAGTCTACACCATGTGAACACTATGATTCATGAAGATGAGAGGGTTGAAGAAGACAATCAAGAAGATCACTTCATAGTTGATGGATGAATTAGCAGAGGTCAGTGGCTTTCTCTTTCTGGCTTTTTCCAGTCATATATGATGTTGTGGTGCTTTTGTTGTACATAAGGATTCAATTGCAAATGAACTTCGCAGTGTTATCAATATAAATTCAATACTCCATGGGTTATTCAGTCATCAATAAATAGCTTCACAGTTATTTATTTCAGTTATGCTCTATAAGTAAAGTGAATTATGAGTTATCAAGACTCTCGATTCAACAAATTTCTATATGCAGGAACAAATCAATTTATTTGATATTCATTCATATATAGATCATTGTATCTTTAAGGATGTTTTTACTTGGACTGTAATATGTTCCAGACCAGATCAGACTTGGCTTGGATAGTTATAAAAATACAAAGAAACCAGACCAGGCCAGATCAGACCAGACTAGAAAATTGCAGTCCAAGTAAAAACATCCTAACAATGCCTACCATCTATATATATTTAATCCTTGTTACAACCCTGATATAGACGGTCTCGGATAAGTTGCTTTTCCTAATTTCCTTTCGAAGTTTATTGAAGAGATTCCAGAGATTGGACTAGGACAAAACAGTTCTCTACAAGTAGGACCATAATATCTTTTTCTTAAATACTAGACTTATTCAGTCTAAAAGAAAGTGTTAACTACTTTTATTATTTATTTATGCTGGAGATAGTCCTTTTTTGTAGAAAAGGGCTCTCTCCTACTTGTGCACATCATTCAAGTTTTACTCCTGTTTGCATTAATTTTTAAACAAAAAAACAAGGTCAAACAAAAAACATCTTTGGCTGCTGGCCTAGTTAGCCTTAACCGGTTCACTCTGCTGAATACTTGAATGTTCTGAGCTTCTAACATTAAATATTCTGAAATATTTAAGTAGTACGTAGTATATATAGTAAGAAGAGAAATGTTTCATGTGCTTTTAATCTGTAAGGAACCAAAACTACCAGCTGGATGAGATGAGCATTTAATACTTACTTATACTGTTGTATTTCTTACCTAGTACTCCGTATGTGATTTGCAATGATCTGAAAAAGGTTATTTTCTTTCATTTGCTTAATGTTTCGTATTAATTTGGTGGTGGGGGTCCTGAATTGGCTAATTGCACTGGATTTGATGGTGCATCTGTCTTCAGAAGGGGGTGTGTTCATTTTTATGGGATATTAAAGTCTTAAATACTCCGTATGATTTTTGCTCGTTGAAAACATAGTGTTATATATATTTAAAATAATTTTACATTCAGACAAATTGAAATAAGGTGAAGATATAATACTACGTAGTATATAAAACTAACACATTCATATAAATTAGTACGTAGTATATAGTAGGAACAATTGACAAGAATAATCTCACCTTTCACTAGTCTTCTCATAATAATCTCACCTTTAAATAATCCCAAAATAATCCAACCTTTGCACCCCATCTTCTTTCATTGGACCCTGACCAAGTTTTTTACCTTTTTTTAAAAATCTTATATAAATAATCTCACATTTATAAGGATATAATTAAAAAGTGAAGGGTGAGATTATTAGTATAATTTTCAAAGAAAGACTAAAAAACATGGTCAGGGTCCAATGAAAGAAGATGAGATGCAAATGTGGGATTATTTTGGGATTATTTAAAGGTGGGATTATTATGAGAAGACCAGTGAAAGGTGAGATTATTCTTGTCAATTTTTCCTATATAGTAAGATGAGCATTTAATACTTACTTCTACTTTTTATTTCTTCTTACCTAGTACTCCGTATGTGATTTGCAATGATGTGAAAAAGGTTATTTTCTTTCTTTTGCTTAATATTTCGTATTAATTTGGTGTTAGGGATCCTTAATTGGCTATGCACAGGATTTGATGGTGCATCCTTAAATGTGATTTTTGTTTGTTGCAAACATAGGGCCCGTTTGGTAATTTACACATTAAAACTTTGCATGTAAAATGATTACATGCAAAGTTTAGGGCGGTAAAATACTTTGTATGTAAAATAGAAATACATTGTTTGGCAGGTAAAACTTTATACATCGTTTAACACATTAGTACTCTGTATAAAATAAAATAAGGTATACTCCGTATAAGCTAATCCTGGAACACGCTGCCGTTTTTTTATGATGACGGTGAGATTTGCCGATGATGGTGAGATTTGCCGCAGATGATCTTTTTCTGTGAGGGAAAATTATTAAACCATGATGTAAAGAAGAGACCCAAATTACCAGAGTGCCTAAAGCATTAACTGAAGTATTACAGCAGATGGAAAGGTATTCGTCCATGATGGTATGAAACCATGATTTTGTTTTTTACACGAAGTCTTGGAGAAAACCATAGCTTTTGCCGAGATTTTTCCCTCACGGCTAGGGCTGAGCACGGGTCGGGTTCGGGTGGGTCAGGTTTGCGTACCCTAAACCCGTTCGGTTTTTTTAAGTTAAATACTAGGCCCAACCCTTTTGATATTTCAAATCGGGTTTTTCGGATATTTGTAAATCGGATATTATCAGATATCGGATCGGGTTTCGGATATTTCGGTTATATTAAAAAAAATTATAATTGGATAATTAAAGTGTTTGAATGCCTCTTTGACAAAAATTCTACAAACTAGTGCACTATACATTCAAATTACGCAAATAATTTAATACAAATTGCATAAATAATTACACAAATAATTGAACACAAGTATTAATTTAACATATTCAAAGTACACACTACATAATTAACTCCCTCCGTCCCAAAAACAACTTCACAGTCACTATTCATTGGTCAACTTGAATCACTCGTAATCTTTTACTTTTTATATCAATTTTTTTTCAAATTTAAATTTTATTGATCAGGCTTTGTAGCGGTTTTAATGTAGTTTCTGAATATGTAAATTTTATTTATTAAAAATAATCCGAGTGTGAGTAGGGATCGAGTTGCTTTATCGTCAGTCAAGCATCGTAAACTGAACGGGAAGTTAATTTTGGGACGGAGGTAGTAATATATTTCGAATATTTCGGTTATATTAAAACATATTATAATTGGATAATTAAAGTGTTGGAATGTCACTTTGACAAAAATTGTACACACTAGTGCACTACACATTCAAATTAAAAAAATAATTTAACACAAATTGCACAAATAATTGAACACAAGTATTAATTTAACATATTCAAAGTACACACTAATATATTTCGGATATTTGGGCGGGTCGGGTTGGAATTTTACAAACCCTACCCGCCACCCGATCTAGGCCTAATACTAATCAGATTTTCGGTTTCGGGTTTTTCGGGTCGGATATCCATTTCGGTTCGGATATTATCCGAAAAAAACTTCGGGTTTTGTAGGTCGGTTCGGGTTTTGTTCAGCCCTACTCACGGCCAAGGTCCGGTGTATATTCATTCTCCAAATTAATGGATGTAAAATAGTTTACTATCCTCCCCCCACGTAAAATATTTTACATGGTACAGTGTAAACTGTTTTTAAAAAGTGTCCTACAATTTACATTAAATATTTAAAACAAACGGTGTAAAACGTTTACTTTCATACACTTTGCATGCAAAATGTTTATTTTACACGATATCAAACGGGCCCAAAGTGTTACTACGACCATCTTTTTGTACACCTCTTTTCGTCCCACTAGGTTTACTACGACCCTATATTTCGCAATTTACAATTTTGCCATCTTTTTGGTCTATACATGAAGCGCCATCATTCCATCAACCTTTGTTTTAAAGACTAGAGTACTAGACGTGACTCTCCAGTCAAAACTTCAACTCTACTTTTCCAGTCATTTTGTTTTTACAAAATATTTATTTACATTATCCAAAAAGGACAGAGTACGTCAATAAGAAGTGGAAATATAGAGTTTCACTTGGTTGGGGGATTTTCGGAGGAGATAAAAAATACTCCGTAGACCGTAGTACATAAAAATGTATGGTTTAATTAATTGTTCAATATATAGTTATTTGTAGTCTTAAATTAACAAATTCTGATAAATTAGTAAACTAAAAAAACAATTCTTCCCTTCCTTTACCTTCAGTTCTTCAAACCAAACAAGGCCTAAAGCTAGAGTATAATGTAGGACTGTAGGAGTATAAAACAAAAAAAAAGGATTTACGCAAGAAAAGATTCAAAGAACGCTATTTGCCACGACGCCTACACTGGCAAGTAGCAAGGATGGAAGTAATACTGAAACCCAAAACGAAATATCCAACTAAAGTGCAATTTGGCTACAATATCTTTTTCATTTCAAGCTTCATTTATCAAGCCATGACATCTCTAGAGAGTCTTCACTCTTCATATGTTTGGTAAATGGCTTATCAGCCATTTTTCAGCTTCTTTGACCATTTTTAATTGGATTCACCAGCTGAATTGATAAAATTAGTGTTTGGTAAATAAATGGTGTGTTTAGCTGGTTGGCCTTAAAAGTCGACTTTGAAAACGCCATCAGTAGCAACGTTTGGGCTTGGCTGCTTTGTATATAATATTGAATACTCCTTTATGCAAAGTTCAAACCTACACTAGCTACCAATGGGATTATGGGATGCAGCGCACGCAAGTTTACTATATTTATATTTAGCATCTCAGTAATGTATCAAGTGTTTTAGGAGTATGATATGATTTCATGATTCAAATTATATTAATTATTTAGTTCTTTTAAAAACTACAAATAAACATGAATTTTTTAATTTCATATTATTCAAATTAAATCAAAATGTTTCTTTTAATTTATTTTATTTTTCATGTAGTTGTATTTACATAGTTCAAAAATTTCTAAAATATGACTGATTTATACTCTAAGTAAATTTAGGTAGTATTATTTTTATAAGAAATTGCTAAAAATAAATTAAAACATCAATGTTCTTATTTGTCTTTTTACACGCAAACAGTTATTATTGAACAGCTAATTTACCAACCATTTACAAACAAGAAGCTAACATAATCAGCCAACTAAAATAGCTGACACAATCAGCTATTATCAATCAGCTGTCATAACCAACTAACATCTATTTCTTTCAAAATTACAAATTTATTGAAAAAACCCCATATAATAATGATGCTAACATAATTTTTCATATAAAGTTGGGAATATTTAAATTACATATGCAAGTTGGAGATGTTTATCACACACCCCTTCAAAGTTGGAGGTATTTGAATTATTTTTCCAATTCAAGAAAAATAGTTTATTAATTTGGTAGTGATCTTTTTTTGGAAGAAAATAAACAGAATTAAAGTCCATTTGTTAAAATGAAAATTAATCATTTGAATCAGCTAAATCTGTTAAATTAT